ATGTTTATGGATGTTTAACATCAAACATTGAGTTGAATTGTGAATGAATATATGTGCATATGTGTGACAGTATGTGTATATAAGTTTGAACATGACTTGTCCAATACCAACATAACTTGTCTAATTATATCGCGAGGTGTCTTGGCTGTGATTATAAAAAACAAAAACAAATGTATTTAATAATTATCCTAGTATACACATATGTCTGAAGGTATGTCGTGTACGTTCCCCAGACATCACACCGAATGACATATCGGACTTCCCCAGTCATTTGGTGAGTATCTTGGTAATGAATTTACAGATGCTGTACACCAATTAATGAATGGCACAATATACTTCATACTGTGTGACTCCATTAGTTCGACCGCGTGTTTCCACGGCCGTTCAAGACATAAACTGCAAAAAGGATCGACGCTTCGGGCGACCATACAATTTGGTGAGCAGATTCTCGTATTACCACAGCCAAACCTGGTATTCTTCTTCGAAGTTCAACAGGATAAGAAACTCAATCATACAGTTGCGAAGATAGGTTTTCGCCGCTCACATTTGTGAACCACAATCGCTGGTTACATGCCGTTGACAAACTCCACTAGTTGCTTTGACACTCAGGTACTTGATGTTTATACACTCACACGAATTAGTCTTAGGATTTCAGTTTCTCTGCCGTGCTTAGTAAATTATAGAATCTGTTATTCTCATGACCACTTCATTTTACTATTTACAAATATATATGTGCAGATTACCAACCCTTCTCTGTCCCTATTGCCGCATCGTTACCAAACTTTTTATTGTGTGTGTAGTGCATTTTTCTTTGCTTCCCCCTTACTATCTGTATATCCGCTCTGGGCTATGGGGAATGCTGCGTTTAATACTAAACTATAGCAGTAGTGGGTGATATTACACGAGAACATGTCAAACATAATTATTGTTGTATCTATTAAACATTGGGTCTACATAGTTCATGCACAGCGTTGTACGTGTAATATTGACTTGTGTGAATGATTATATTATATATTTATATATTTCTAATAAACTACATGGGTGCCAGATTGTCTAAATTAAACTCCTTGTTACACGAATTGTGTAACTTTAAACTGGACAAGAACCTGCACACGAAGTTGTAAAAATAGTGATTATCAATAATTGTTTCGGGTTAATAGTTGATCTGACCCTGTGACCTTGTGACAAACAACTTTGAACAAAACACCTCTGGAATGGCATTAATGTTTGATTATGATTAGTTTTAAACATTAAAATGGCCGCCATTCAATCGTGTTGAATCGGATCGTCAAAAAATTAGCATGCATATAATCTACATGATGTCTGACACGAGTATAAAGCTTGGACGTGATTGGTTTAGATATGCCAGACATAAAGCTCCTCAACAGCATTAATTAAATCAATAAGACCCCTCAGTTGACCATTTCGAATCTGATTTGAGGGAACAAAAAATACGTGCAGCAAGCCCCGATAATGCGTGTACACATTTTGAACTAACTCCGTTCATACACGATTCAGTCAATCAGTCAATTCAAAAACTTGCATAGTGCCAGGATTTAGTTCGAAGTAATGTTTAAGGGCTGTGAAAAAATGTGAAAAGTCTTTAGCATTGTTACATATTTACAAGAGTGTGCGTGGTTTGTGCCTATGAGGAGAGATATATTTAGATGATAACTAAAGGTGTTTACTCAAGCAGTCAGACTTTAATATTCAATGAACTATCTCATATGTACATCATTGGAAAATACTTATCAAAGTTGTATGTACTAAATATATTACGTAAGGCACTGATAGCGTTGATAAAAATCTTCTGAATTTCACCAAATTTGATCATTCTGTAAAATATAATAAATTTCATGATCTGCATTGCTAGTTTTGTAATTTATTTTACATTATGCAGCGAAAACAACACTATTCAACTAGCAGTATATACTGATAATCTAACCGGGTATTGCTAGTCACATGAGGACGAGCATGCACATGTACATTGTGTCACATTACATTTGATTACAGATACACACTAGTAACAATAAGTGTAACATACCCCGTCTATAATAATCAAAGTTTGTTCAGGATGCTGCAACCTTACAAACAAAATGATAGAAATTTTCACAGTCTTCATCTTTCCATCTGTTGCCTGTTAATTGGCAGAAAAAAAACATATACTGAATATATTGACTGGCCATTGTGGCAATAGATCAGGTTTCCCCAATGATTTTGAGTAGCCCAACGAATATATTTATTTTCTAGGACCATGAACTCAAAATCCCAAATTACTTGATTGTGGTTTGTAATTTATTTCCTAGAAGTGAGCATTACACATAATTGTGCTAGATCGGTTAGGAAATATCGTCAGGGTACCGTAGGGTGGTAGTGAAATGTGTGTACAGCTGCATATTTTTCTTGGCTAGAAAGACAGTTTATGTTGGATTGTGTACTTTGATCATTTACTGTGCGTGTTTGGCATAGAGTAGCAAATTTGCTACCACCTAGCGGCTGGACCGGTTGCTTCAAAAATTGTCGTTTATGAAATCTAAAATACATGGACAACGAATCAAACAACTAGTGATAATATGTAGTCATGTCTTAATTTCTCTGTCCACATATTTAAGGATTTTTATATAGCTGTTCGATATAGTTATGCAAATTTGTTCGTATTACGTCAGGAGAAAATATTTTTTTTATACACAAGGTATTATTTCTACACCATGTCTTTGCTTGCCATATTTAAAACATAGTTACGTGTAGTACTTACTATCACCCTCATTACCATGGACACAATCTTTTCCGGCGTTCCATCCAGGACTGCCACAGTCCCAATTTGTCCATTTCGCCAATGTTCTATCCGTCCACACAAAATCTGCTTCCTAAGTGAAATTATTATATGCATCAGTAGCGTGTGGATTATAGATGTGCTTTTATCATTGTTCAAAACATTTCTTGTGTAATTATATGAGAAAGTAATAATTTAGAGTCAGTCCGATGATTTATGTGTGCAAAATAATTTAATAACACGAATATCATCTCAATTTGAATTTGTCTACATACATTTTACATTCAACGGACTGTTGGTAACATGTATATAAATGCAAATAGAACCGAAACGTGATTGTCCCTTCCTCAGTGTCGAACATCCTGTTCTGTGCGCTTGATGGGAAGTGGTCGGGCATATGATCTATCGTATTCGCCTTTATTTAAGCATTCAGGTAAGGTGTTTGTTATCACATTAGCATGCTTAGAATGTCAATGACATTCAAAGAATGTCTGGATTACAGTTACAATTGTAATACGTTTTTACTACCGTTACTCTCATACGTGACAAGCATGGTAATGTGTAACACTGTGGGTTTTCCCCTATATGTTATATGCTTTGTTGCTTACGTTATTAATGTCATTTAATCCAATCCAGTAATAACCGTCCGTTTGAACTAATCCATGCACAAAGCCTTCTTCTGATGGTGAATGAATTGATACTAATGAACAGCCTGTTGCAAGGCCATTACAATGACTATCCGCTTGATTGAAATTTAACGCAGTTGAAACGTACTTGTAACAATAACCAAAGTTATATGTAAATTCTTCAGGGCAGGTTTCTGGAAAGAAAAGCAACACATTCTATATCATGCGAAATAACGGTTTTAACTATATGAATATCACGTTAATTTTTTTATATTTATAAATTTATATTCTAAATTCACACATGTCAAATGGACTTTGAATATCACAGTTACTATTGCATTGTTTGTCAATAACGACATAACATACATTACACAACCTACCTTGACCTATGACGAGATTTATATTGAGCAAACATGCAATTATAAAAAGGACTTTCATCTTTGCACAATAGGACAGTGGGTGTTGCATGCGGTTACAGGAGGAAGTATTTTTCAAGTCCTAAGAGAATTTATGAGAACAAAGAGATGTTAATAAACAGAAGATGTTGTTATTGAAGTCTAACACTTGCGCATTGTGATCGTATGACAAACACTAGAAGAGTTATATGCATACATATAAATCAATATTTTATTTTACTATACACTGTAAAAAAGCATGGTTGCGGATCCACAAATGTGTAAGTAATGGCTTCAGTATTTTTTCTCAAATAATTCAGACACGTGCATCTATGTTTTATTAACAATAAATTTGTGTTTGATGCATAACATCTTCACATATAGTTTTAGTAAAAGTACAGTTTATGACCTTGATATATGACGTGTGTGTATTTATACACGTATATTTAACTACTGTATCAGCTGATATTATTTGAAAGGTGACATGTGTCACAGTGCAATGCCTGCTTATTGCTACTGAAAGAGGCACCAACATCACACACACTGGAAGGGGCTTCTTTCACTGACAGAATAGGGTAGACAAAACAATAGTACTGGCAATGAAATACACATACACCAACATATTACGATAAAGAGTCTGGCTTTCATACCTCTCAAAATAATTACAAGAAGAAAAGCACAGAAAAATACAATGAATGAATACACTAAAATTTTGGGATTGATTTGGGAAGTTTACATTGATGATAACTCATAGTTCCAGGATGTGGAAATGAATGACAGTCGATGGCTTCTGCAACACAATGACGGAATACAGAAGTCTTGTATGCAGAGGAACGCCGCTGATAGCAGGATATCACAGAGCAAGTTTCAAAGAATGATAATACATCAGCAATACACTCGGTTGAAATGATGAACCCCCAACGGACCTCAGTCCAGCCTTTCTATAGGCATAAATTCAGGTACACTACCTGGGTTTCCACATGAGCCAATTAAAATGTGGTCTTAATAGCAGCTGTCTCAAGTAGGCAAGCCAGTAGATCATAAACATAATTTGTTATGTAAATTACAAGCATACATGGTAGATTGCAATTGTCCTTCCAGAATTGTAAACAAGTATGACCTGTCAATCACCTTTATGACAGTTATCACACAGCAATGTACATCGTTTCTTGCCATGATTCCATGCACACTTCTATTTGCAGGATTTTAGATATTATGACAAAAACATAGAATAGAGGATGCTGACATGTTGAACGCTAAACATGTTGAGGGAACACGTTAATTCATTTTAAAGCAAATACGTAATGAAATGTTATACTAGGTTTATATATTGACTTGTGTATAAATTTAAATTCCGCATATATACTGTATGTGGCAGGCAGAATTGAACATTACTTCTGACTTTACTGAATGGTGGACATGTAAACTGTGAATATAATTGACATATATTAATGCGAAGTTGCAGTTGTTAACTTATGACCAGATGGCTGCAACTACCCAACTGAATTGGAACGAACATATTTGATCATACACAGTTAGTTTGACATATATTCTCTTGCCACCTAGGCCAATACAAAGTCATGAAGTACAATGTAGTGTGTATTTTCAATCGTTCGGGAAAATTCGGCGACAAAATACACTGCATCATTCATGAAAACTACTCGTATAAAAACTTCTGCAACGCATACATTAAGTAAATCATACATACCTCTTATTGTGTGTGACACAGCTGAATTAAAGTTGTTGGAATGATTCTCGTTTAAATGATGTTCTCCTATTTATGTCAATTTTTCAAACACCATATGTGCATGCCCCATGCTTTATCGATATATGCCATCTCAATAGCCTCATTTAGTTATGACTGTTAAATCACCGTATGAGCGATGGGAATTGTCGTTTAAGTTAAATGTCGGACACGCATTGGACAAATTTTAGTGTGTTACGTGTTTAAAATAGAAGCAATAGTGAATTCACTTGTTATAGTCATGGTTACAAATTAGCTGAATGGAAAGATTGACTAGGCCTAGGTGTGTATTTTTTATCATCTGTTGCAGAATTACGTGCAAACAGAATGTTCCCAAATCCAGGACAAGTCATAGATTTTTTTTAATAATTGCTTTATCAAACTCTGTTCAAATAAATACTTCTGTTCAGTTGCTGTGGATAACTGGGATTATCACAGGCGCATGCCTATTTCGATTCCGGCTTTAACAAGTCAATCTCAGCGTACACATCAATCACAGATTCACTAACGAACAAATTAAGTATGCGTAACAGCCACTTGTAACATTGTCGTTTCAGTTAATCTGAATAACAACCAAAAATAATCACAAGAAAATAATTATACTTTTATAGAGCTTGGTACCAACAATAAACTTCTAACAACACTAATTTAAAACTAAAATTTACAAACTAATCTTCAAGGCTACATTCAGTTCAATCAACCACTGCTAGATATCTGACATTGAGTCTCAATCAGGTAAAGAACAAAATAGAAGGGGAATTTGTTTGCCATATTCAGACATGGCTATTATGTTTGAGTTGAAATATTCAAGCTTTTCGTGTAATAAACATGAAAAGTATTATGAACTGAAACTTTTTTTTGCAAACGCGGAGGCATTAACATGAATGTTTTACCTGGAAAACTAGGCCAGGTAGGCAGAATATTATAGCATAAAAACAATTCAAGAATCTATGAGTAAATAACACAAACAGTAGCTGATACTCTGCATGCTTGATGAGCTGCAACTACAAGTATTACTTTCATGTTATCAACAGAGCGGCTACATAGCAGCATGAACAGATATGTGGCGGAGTATGCGTATATAGGACATTGACCTGACCAGTTAATCCAGGGTAATATGTAACTGATAACCTTCATGACGTGCTGTCTGACATTGTTTGTCACCAAATAGAAGGCAGTGCATGATGACATTGCTACTCATTCAGAAATACTACAATATATAAAAACAACATGATTTCCCATCCTCTTTGTAACTAAGGCCGTCTATATATAATCTGTCGTCTGCATATTTTATAGCGTATAATTTACGTAACTGATACAATAATATGACAACTTATACAAGACATATTAAGCCTCAATTGTACATGTGCAAAATTGATATATATTTGAAAATTCAGTGAGTTTGAAGTTAAAACAAATCAATTTCTTCAGGTTGGCAAATGTGTTTTGGTTTATGTATATGCATTTTAAAGTGAAATGCCGGATGTACATAGAAACAATATTTTGGAGGAATCAGATAAAAGCACTGGGTATAAAGTTATAAACACTGTTAAAACTGGACGATGCCTTTCACCACCAATATTTTCCCACTGGTGGATTTTGTATGACTCGGGCACTAAAACACGCGATCCATAAGCGCGAATAATTTTGTGTTTAAAATAGAAGCATTAGTCAATAATATACTTGTTATAAACAGAATTACAAAATCGCTGCATGGAATGATATGACTAGGTCATCCTTGTGGTGTGTATTTTGTCATGTGTTGTTTACGGCTGATATGCTTCAGAATTATGTGCAGACAGAATGTTCCCCAATCCAGGACAAGTCCATACAAATGTTTGTCACCGAATGTAAGGCAATGTTATTTTCCTGTTCTAACATTGCTCTGAAAACAAAAATCCCATCCTCATTATAATTAAGTCCGTCCACACACGTACGTATATTTTGTGTAACTGCTACAATAGTTTGCAAAGTTATACAATATATATGAGACCTCCCATTGAAATGTGCAAAATTGATATTTATTTAAAAAAAAAATTCAGTGAGTTTAAAGTTATTACACAAACAACAAACAAAACAATGTTTTTCTTGTTGGCAAAAGTTTTTTGGTTACGTTTATGTGTAGAATTGTCTTCCATGCTGAAACATTCCTAGGATAGATTGAATAGAATCCATAGATGTATTCGTCATACTTAAAAATAAAAGAACTACTTTTTAAAACATAATAGTCATTCTCAGAAAAATCAAAAACTTAAAAAAAAAAAAAAACTTCCACTGTATTTCACCTGTAATTAGTGAAATGCTTGAATAACTTATCATTAGGCAGCTGTGCTCTTATTTGACATATGAAAGGCATGGGATGCGTGGCTGGTAAGAGAAGTTGCGTTTAGAACTACTTTCTATGAATACGTGGAGTTCTTAATTATTGTGTAGTGTAACCGTTTAATAAAAAAAAATAGAAACGTCTAATAAAAATATTGTAGGTAGATGAAAATAATCCATAAAATGAGATAGTAGCCTGGTAGTCATAAAGTTTCAGCATAAACTTAATTTAAAAAAAATAGTATAAATACAAGCAATACTGTAGGTGGTATAGGTGACTTCAACCAAGTAAACAATGTTATGAGATGTCTCCATCTCGTTGATTGAAAACAAACATTTATTCTTCTGTTATCATTATATCGAATCCATAACAGCTGCAGGATATGATATGACCAAACGAAATAAGTTTGTGAGAAAAATATGTTGCTTGGTGTTTTTCTCAAACTGAGAGATTTTTCATATTATTTTAAGTGTTTTATACAACAAAAATTGAATTAAGCTGCCAGTATACTTTTTCTCACGTAAAGTTTTATTTCACATGCATTCAATTGTTCACATTTAGTACACCACTACTCTAAGCCACTGTGATGCACTTTATTAAAAATTAGGTTTTTGATTGACATTGGACAGCCTGAATATGTGACGCGAGTTGGATTTCTTTGAGTATTTATTTCTCTAAGAGTAAATTCGATAATTTTCTGACAATTATCCGATAATTATTCAATAAGATACTCGCAAAGTTCACATGGATCCCCCTACACAGTCTTGTGACTTACAATACGGAACTCTTTACACTGCGTTTGGTTTGATGAGCTCTTAGTGACTGTTATGCGTTATTTACAACACATTTTGGTGACCGTAATACTGCGTATGCACGAGTTCAGTGGTAAGTTGGTCGATATTACATATTTATATACATCATGGCCATGGTAGCCAGTCAAATTCACGCATTACGGGTAGCCATATTCGTTTGTCTACCCGCTGACATATTCATATATCTCCCT